CTCCCATCTGCCCCCTCCCCAAGCTGCCTTCAGCCCTCCAATTTTGTTTGTCCTGATATTCAACCTAAATTTTCTTTCTTTATCTCCTTCCATTATTTCTCATACATAATCTTTTGTCCTCTTTGGTGTCTAACTGTCTCCAACACCTGCAGAGAGGAAGCAGAAAAGATGAGAAGCTGGAGCAAAAAAGAAATAGCGGAAATGACTGGGAAAAAGAGAAACGGGCAATAATCTGTTCCTATTAGCTAGGCTGGGGACAAGCAATGAGCAGATGAAAAAATAAAAATGTGGAAGAAAGCAAGAAAGAAGCAGTACGTGAATTATTTGGAATAATTTAACTATATTAAAAAATAATGTAAATTACTTTTTCCAAACTTTCCCAAGGTGAGAACATGGGATATAGGGGGAAGAGAGAATGGCAGCTGTATGTTAACACTGGCAGCAGCAGTGTGCTACTTGCTTTCAATAAGTAGTTTTGCCCAATAAAAATTAATTCAATTTTCTTTGTAAATAGCAAGATTTTCACTTGACCTCCCTTCACTTCGCCCTGCTGCTGCTCTCATATTCTTAAAGCAGGTGTTAGCAGTGACTTTGGGTTTCAGCTGGTTGTAAGAAAAGCCCATTCATTTCTGCTCTGCTCATGCTGCTAGCTGAGAAATGCTGTTTGTCTGCTTTTTGGAGTGTGCCCAGGGATGTTCTCAGGATCTCAGTCTCCAGTGTGTGGCTGGGAGTGATGCTGGGTGTGCCAGGCCCTGCACTAATGGCAATCACCTTTTTTTTCTAGTAACAGAAGCAAGTGGGCAAGGATTGTTTCTAGACAGAGGTCTGGGATCACTGTAGAGGTGGTACAGACCTACATCCAGGACCTGTGGGTGGTAGCAGGGTTCTTATCCTCTGTGGTTTGTAGCCTACACAAAGCTTGGTTATGGGCAGATGCTGGGATTTACTCCCAGACTCTACCAGGAAGGTGTAGAGGCATACCACATTGCCTAGTACTCAGGATATGTTGTCCCTTCCTGGACTTTCCTGGTATGTAGCAGATGTACTTGGCCAACTCTAAGTAGGAGGAGGACTAATCCCCAAAATGACTTCCCCCACCCCTCCATCCTTTCACCAGACATATCTGGGGCAATTTACTACAAAACTCTTTGTATTTGCATTCTCACCACACTCTGCATACTCATGCTGGGACCAGAGATAATTTAGCCCTTTAGCTAATAATCAGCGCCCAGGTGTTGGAGAAATAAATAAAATGTATAGCTTAGTTAAACACAAATGTAAAATATGAACAGAAAATAAGCTGTCTTTCAATTCTGCCCCCTCCCCCATGTCCTCAAATTATTTTTTCCACTGGATACTGGCTGGGGGTCTAGGGTCCTCTGCTTGCTAGGTACATCTGTCAGTCAGGCTACTGACATCAAAGGTACAGCTCTGTCTTTTGCTTTCATGTAAAAATAATCATACTGGAAAAACCATGCACGCACAGTTGTATCCCAGGTAACTATTTACTAAAACATGTTGCTACAAAGTATTTATTTTTTATCATTTTATTTATAATTTATTACTAATGCATTTGTTTATATGGCTGTGTAAAAATACACAATACAACACAGTACAGTAGATTAACTGTATAAAACAAAGGCCAGGTACAGACATTATACATTAACTGGTCTAAGTGATCACAAATTGATCTAAACCTGTACCTGTATAGAAGTTCAGCGCACATAGATTGGTTTACAAATGGTGGAACCTGGTCTAAGGTACCACGTTTGATGTACACTTAAATCTAATCATTTTACATTAGACCGGTGAATTTAATTTCTGTACCAGATCCCCTGTCAAGTCAAGATGGATCTCTGCCCATTGGTACGTTAGTCTCCTTTGCAGCCCCCTGCAGCCCCTCCCCTTGTAGAAAGGTGTGCTAGCACTTGGCCTGCACTCTGCTGCTCCAGCTGAGCCAGCACAGACTCTCTCATTATCCCCACCTCCTGCCTCCAGCCATCTGTCAGCACAGGCAGGCAGTGGGGGGTGGGGGGCAGGGGAAGGGAGGCATCAGTGTCCCTGCATGAGTCTGAGGACCTGGGCACTTGAATCTCCTGGCTGTGCTCCAGCACCCCATCATTAAGCATCCCACAATGTACACAATCACCTGATACTGAGTCCAGGAGAACCCTCATGCTCAGGCACGGCCCAGACCAGCCAGGGAACCCCATGCCCCCACGTTTGGGCACAGCCCCATGGAGCCTGACCCTGGCTGCTGCGGGTGGCCATCATAGAGGACATTCTGGTTCTCTGCTACTCTGTCCTCTATAGATATGAAACTCGACGCCTTTATATCCTCTATTTTCTCTTCAAGAGGGGTTTGGGGGTGTGCTCAGCCATACCCAACAGCCAATCAGGCACTCAGCTATGCTCAGCAGCCTGGGGAGCCCACAGGGCATGTTGGGAGATGTGCAGGAGCACCCCTAACCTGCTGGCCTCTGCCAGTGCAGGCAGCCTGCATGCGCCTTGCCACTAAAAGGGGAAAGTATGTTCTGTTTGCTACCGATCTAAACTAGGCTGCTTACAGAAACTCGTGTAGGTTAGATTGATTCTTCCTCAGGCTTTTTGAATGGCTGTACTTGGCCAAACTTCTGGCAAGTAGCTCTAGGTCTTCCTAGTTTGCTGGAGCATAGCCTTCAGACAATGAACTGGGGGAATAGCTATTTTTATGCAGCTCACATAGCCCTACTAAGGATAATCCCTGCACATAAGTGATTCAGACATGGTCTTTCATGTTTTCAGAGAGAACAGACAGCAGCAGGGGAAATTTCCCCACTCTCAGACAGAGACTGGGAGAGAAACCTGTACATTTAAATGCTGCTGCAGGGCCATTACAGAAATAGGTGTATGCTATCAAAGTCACTTTGTGGGCGAGAAGCAGCAGCTTCTGCATTTCAGTTAGACTAGGATGTCAAAATCAGCTACCTGATCTGTAGGCTGGACTGGACCCACAGACTGATCCACATTCCAGTCCTGGCCCAGCCACCATGAAGCAGTGCTGCATGGTCCTGGAGCTGCATATGGCAGCTGTTCCATGGGCATTGCACAAGCCATCCAGTGCACCCCACATGCTGCCTGTGGGTCTCTCATTCAGAGACCCACAGACAGCATCAGGGGCCAGACGATACAGCTCTACAGGCTCAATCTAGCCCACAAGCTGCATCTTTGACACCCCTGGGTTAGACTATCTTAGTTTAGAAAGAAGGCAGAAAATACCAGGTGGTGTCAGGTTTAAAGCAAAATGTCAAATCTCTTGTGGGAGTTTGGTTCTAGGCCCCTTCTCTGCTGTTCACTTCATTGCTTATTTCTAGTGCCTTTTTTTCAACTGTTGCATTTTTGCTTGTGCAGCAAAGGAAGCAAATCTGAGACTGGGGAGACCAGGCTTCCAGTGTTCATCTAGGCCAGTGTTTCCCAAGCTTTTAATACGTGGGGCACATATTTTTCTGGATTAAAACTGGAAGCACAAAAAGAGATGTGTGTGATATTATATTTTCATATGACATATTCAGTTCCCCTGCCAAAGGAAATTATGCCAGTGCTGAGATATACTATTAAAAACATAACTTCATAACTTGGCTGAATTTTGTGCAACCCCAGTGAAAATCTAGATCTAAAAACTGGATTTAAATTCAGAAAGGGTACAGAGGAGGGCCTTAAGGTCAAAAAGTTGAGAATCACTGACCTAGCTGGTGCCACTTAAGGGCAACCGGGGTAGGACTTCAACCTGTTTTGCCCTGCTCTTTCCACTGTCTGCCCCCTGCCCCCCAACCCTTGGTCTGTATCTCAGGAGGCAAGAGCAGCGCAACTGCATGGGAGGAGTAGAGGGGATGTGTTGGACTGCAAGGTGTGGCTCTGTCTACACATGCAGCTGCTCACTGTAGAATGCACTGCTGGAAGTATGGGGTGGCTGCCTAGAGGTGGGGAAAGGGGCAGGCAGCAGCAGTGGCAATAGAAACCAGAGGAGCAGGTGCAGGCATTGCTGGAGTAGCTGGGGCAGGTGCAGGGTGCTGGATAAGGGAGGAGTGCATTTACCTCCTCACACAAGGGGATCTTGTGGCATGTTAGTGTGCTGCAGCGTGCTTCTGGGAATCACTAGTCTAGGCACTGTTTATGAGAGGGCATTCCACCAGCTGAGAATCTGGCCTGGTGTTTCAACAATCAGTGTGTCCCCAGCCATCAACTTTATAGCCAGATAAGAAGTAGAAATATGCTTACAGAGAACTGGGAGGCCCAAATAGAAGGCAATCTCTTTTTTTCATGGCATTTCAGGTTCTGGTTGGTGGAAATATGAGGAATGCAGTTCTTGTTATTTCCTTCCCATAAACGGCTCTCTGAAAAAAGAATAAAAATGTTCAGCTGTGAGTTTAATTTCCTTTAACACTGAGATTTTTAAGAGTTCTTTAAAAACTATTTGTGAGTGTTGAAGCAAAGATCTGAATACATTTCTTGTGTTTTCCTGCTGCTGACTTTTCAGGGGAAGCCTCACTAGGTAGCCTGGCACCAAGACTTTTCCTGGGTAGCCCATATGCTTCTTTATTTAAGGAATAAACACCTTTTAATATAGCTTCTTATGGGAGCCCCCAGGCAAAAGGAAAACCCTTCTCTCTGTGAGGGGAGGAGGGGAGAAGAGCCTCTGCCCTTTCTCCCCTTATTCAGGGGAAGGATAGAGCAAAAGAACTGCAGTGCTCTTTACTGTGCCTCAGCAGCTCTGGTGTCACTTCAGCTCTTTTACTGAACACCTCTGTGATGCTTTAAAGTGTTCAGAGTAAGCAGTTTATTTAGCTGTAAGGAAGTAGCTCTAGTATATTAATTTCCTGTCCACTGGGCTCTTCAAAGAGCTTGGTGTGGCTCCTAAGTACAGAAGACATACCTCAAGCTGCTGTATAATTAACTCAACAATTATAAAAGCAATAAATGCATGATTGCTCTTTATATTAATACATTAAAAAGGAGATGTGTAATTGGCACTTCAACAAGTCGGCAGCAGCAAATTAGATGCTAATATGATTATGAAATGACAGTTACTGTTAGCAGATAATTGGCATCACCTCCCTGCAGCCCCATTCCCTGGACTTTTTGGGAACCTTCTACCAATGGGACTGTAACGAGTTTAAAAATTTTGCAAATATAAGTTAATTAAAAAACTATTGTAAAGCAGCTCTTAAGTGCCTGAGCAATACGGCTTGGGGTTTGCAATAAATAATTAAGTCCTCTAGGATATTACTACACTAAAAGATCCCATTTGAAACACGGGCATCATTACACCTGCCAATAACATCTCTGATAACCTGGGCAAGTTATTCATGAGTGAATGACTACGTGGCAGGTTAGGGGAGGAACCAAATAATAGTGGGAATAACTCAAGCACAGGATGGGATTTTATGTTAGTGGATAGGAACAGAAAATTGGGCTAAGGATGATACACTTATGTTTTTACATTCTTTAATTGCCATAGCTAGTCAAAGTTTTTTTTGGTGATATCTTTTATGGGACCAACTGGGAGAGATGTTTTTGGGCACAGAATGCCATTCCTCAGGTCTGAGAGAGAAGCACAGCTTATCAGGAACTCTGTCTCCTGTGTTGTTTCAAATATTTGCAGTAACAAATGCAGCCCAATTATTATATTAGGGGACTAGCTCAGTAAAGATAAAAACAAAATATTATTTCTTGATGGACTCCTTTGAGGTGGAGGGAAGTGGGGGGGGGGGGGG